ACAGGTCCACCACACCACGCCCAGCTAATTTTTGTATTTTTTAGTAGAGACGGTGTTTTACCACATTGGCCAGGCTAGTCTCAAACCTCCTGACCTCTACAGGTGATCTACCCTCCTCTGCCTCCCAAAGTGCTGGGATTGTGGAGCCACCATGTCCAGCCTTGTTTTTTTGTGTTTTTTTTAGTTTTTTTGAGACGGAGTCTAGCTCTGTCGCCCAGGGCTGGAGTGCAGTGGCACTATCTCAACTCACTGCAAACTCTGCCTACCAGGTTTAAGTGATTCTCCTGCCTCAGCCTCCCAGAGTAGCTGGGATTACAGGCACGCACCACTATGCCCGAGCTTTTTTCTTGTTGTTGTTTGAGATGTTTTTGCTCTGGTCCACTCGGCAGGCTGATGCAGTGGCTTAGCCTCAGCTCCACTGCAACCTCCACTCCGCGCGGTCAGACCTTCTCCTGCCACCACACTCCCTAGTAATAGGATTAGATGGACCCACACAACCACTGGCTAATTTGTATATTTAGTAGAGACAGGCTTTGCAATTGTTGGCTCAGGCCTGGTCTTGAACTCCTGACCTAGGTGATCCACCCACCCTTGGCTCCCAAAGTGCTAGGAATTACAGGTGTGAAGCCGACGTTGGCCTGGGACATTTTCTTTCTTTCTTTCTTTTTTCTTTCTGTATTTAGTAAGAGGATGGGGTTTCACCATGTTGGGTAACGCTGGTCTCGAACTCCTGACCTCAAGTGATCTGCCTGCCTTTTGGCTCCCAAAGTGCTGGGATTACAGGGAGATGAGCCACTGCATCCAGCAGCTTGTTACTTTTCATCTCTCAGGCCTCAGCTAGGGGGTTCACCTCCTGCTGAGGCCTTGCCCGACACCCCAAGTTGCCTCACCCCCGTGACATGTTTTTTCCTTATTGCACTATTGCTCCCAGAAACCAGTTGCTTCGTTGATTTTTTTTTTTTTTTTTTTTTTTTCTGTAACCTCATATCAGAAGCGATGCTTCAAAGTCCAACTTAAAGTTACTGGACTTTAATCTCCATGAGTGCCCGGCCCTATGTGTCTGGTTGGTGGCTGGGTCCCCAGTGCCTAACGGAGTGCTGGGCATGCTGGAGGTGCTCGGGAAATCTCTGCTAATGAAAGACATAGGCTGGGCGCAGTGGCTCATGCCTGTAATCCCAGCACTTTGGGACGCCAAGGTGGGCGGATCACAAGGTCAGGAGATCGAGACCATCCTGGCTAACATGGTGAAACCCCGTCTCTACTAAAAAATACAAAAAATTAGCTGGGCGAGGTGGCGGGCGCCTGTAGTCCCAGCTACTCGGGAGGCTGAGGCAGGAGAATGGCGTCAACCCGGGAGGCGGAGCTTGCAGTGAGCTGAGATCCGGCCACTGCACTCCAGCCTGGGCGACAGAGCGAGACTTCGTCTCAAAAAAAAAAAAAAAAAAAAAGGTAGAAGAAGGAGAAGAAGGAAGAAGAAGACGGAAGAGAAAGATGACTCCGAAGCCCCAGGCCTGGTTTCCGACACACCGTCAGCAGACCCACCCGGTGGACAGAAATGGTAAGGGGGTCTGCCCTAGGGAGACCACCAGATTGCCCAGGGCAGCTCCTGCCTTTGCCCCCATGTCTGCCCTCTCCCCGCTGCCCACCACAGTCTCACACTCTCAAGAGTACCTCTGTGAGGGGTCGAGGCCGTTTCTCCACTGCAAACTCCGTGTGGCACAGCTCACAGTAGCTGGTGTTAGATGAGGAAAGCCACTTCTCCAGACAGCTCTTGTGCACGGCACCCAGCGTGCCGGTGCAGCCACACGGGGACAGCAAGCACTCCCCATTTGCTCCCTCGTGGCAGATCCGGCAGAAGGGACCGTCACTGGACACGGAGATAGGACCCGTGAGCAATGATTGCGCTTTCTGTCTATACCTGCTTCACTACCCACTGGATCACAAGCTCACCCTTACCCTATGCTGCCACTTGGTGAACTCCTACTCATCCTTCAATGCCCAGCTCCAAATGTCCTTCCCTTTGGGAAGGAGATGCAGGGAAGGTAACCTTGCGAAGCCTTCCCAGACTCCCACGGGTGCAGTGATGTGTTCCCTTCCCAGGACACCTGTAGCACCCTCTCAGACCCAACATGGGCATCTGTTATACCTGCCCCCCAATGTCCTCTCCAAATTTTCCTAAAATACCCACCCTGATTATCCTGCACAACTTCCCCACCCTCAACTCTTTTTTTTTTTTTTTTTGAGATGGAGTCTCACTCTGTTGCCCAGGCTGGAGTGTAGTGGCACAATCTCGGCTCATTGCAAGCTCCTTCTCCCAGGGTCATGCTATTTTCCTGCCTCAGCCTCCCGAGTAGCTGGGACTACAGGCGCCCGCTACCACGCCGAGCTAATTGTGCTTTTGTATTTTAAGTAGAGACAGGGTTTCACCATGTTAGCCAGGATAGTCTCGATCTCCTGACCTTGTGATCCGCCTGCCTCGGCCTCCCAAAGTGCTGGGATTATAGGTGTGAGCCACCGCACACGGTCCCCCACTCTCAACTCTTAATCCTCAAAGACCAGCTGGGTGAGGTGGCTCATTCCTGTAATCCCAGTACTTTGGGAGGCCGAGGTGGGCGGATCACGATGTCAGGAGTTCAAGACCAGCCTGTCCAACATGGTGAAATCCCATCTCGACTAAAAATACAAAAATTAGCCAGGCATGGTGGTAGGTGCCTGCAATCCCAGCGGGAGGGTGAGGCAGGAGAATCACTTGAGCCTGGAAGGCAGAGGCTGCAGTGAGCCAAGAATACGCCACTGTGCTCCAGCCTGGGCAACAGAGCAAGGCTCCGCCTCAAAAAAAAAAAAAAAAAAAAATTCCTCAAGAACTAGTGCAGAGCAGACAACACTCCTGATGACCTCAGGCCTCAGGCTGGACCAGTCAGAACACCAGGCCAGGCGCAGTAGCTTATGCCTGTAATTGTAGCACTTTGGAAGGCTGAAGCAGGAGGATCACTTGAGCCGAGGAGTTCAAGGCCAGTGTGGGCAACATAGTGAGATCTCAACTGTATAAAAAAACATTTTTTTTTTTTTGAAACGGAGTCTCGCTCTGTCACCAGGCTGGAGTGCAGTGGTGTGATATCAGCTCACTGCAACCTCCGCCTCCCAGGTTCAAGCGATTCTCCTGCCTCAGACTCCTAAGTAGCTGAGACTACAGGCACGTGCCACCACACCCAGCTAATTTTTTTTTTTTGTGGTATTTGGTAGAGATGGAGTTTCACCATGTTGGCCAGGCTGGTCTCGATCTCCTGACCTCGTGATCTGTCCGCCTCAGCCTCCCAAAGTGCTGGGATTATAGGTGTGAGCCACCGCGCCCAGCCCCAAAATTTTTTTTTAAGACTTAGCTTGGCAAGATGGTGCATGTCTGTGGTCCCAGCTACCTGGGAGGATGAGGCAGGAGGATTACTTGTGCCCAGGAGTGCAAAGCTCCAATGACCCATGATTGTACCACTGCACTCCAGCTTGGACAACAGAGTGAGAACATTTGAATAAAAGCAAAAGAAAATAGAACAGCACGCACCCCTGCTCACGGCGACCAACTCAGGCTTGTGTGATACCATCAGAGCCACCAACAATCTATTCCTAAAATTCTTTGTTTCCCCGTAAACTCCAGAACTGTAGGCCACAAGGCTGACGTAAGCCTGGAGCTCCTGGCAGCTGCCTAGTCTCTGTGTGGAACCTGTGAGCGATGCCAGCACAGAGGAGAGCAGAGCCGAGAGACAGGGAAAGGTAGATTCATAAGGGCATCTTTGGAGGCTCCCGGATCTAACCATACCTGAAGCCCATGCTACCTGAGAAACCTGTGTGTCCAGAGAGAAGTGCTCACCTGCTCCTCTGCCCTTGTGAGGGGGAAACAGAAATAAAAAGCATCTGCACAAAGCTGCCTCGGAAAAGTCTCCAGCCCTGGCCCAGTCTCTAGGGATGCCGGGTCCTTCCCAGGGCAGCTCAGGAGGCAGGAGGCGTGGCCCAGAGGCCATCCAGCCATGAGTCACTGTTTCCCAAACATTTCTGGCCAGAAGGCAGACTGTGAGGTCGCACAAAGAAGAGCTATTTTCCAGACAATGCCAATTTCCTCTCGGAGAGACTGTATTCTTTTCTTTTCTTTTTTTTTTTTTTTTTTGAGTTACCCAGGCTAGAGTACAATGGTGTGATCTCAGCTCACTACAACTCTGACTCCTGGGTTCAAGCTATCCTCCTGCCTCAGCCTCCTGAGTACCTGGGACAACTGGCATGTGCCACCATGCTTGGCTAATGTTTGTATTTTTAATAGAGACGGGGTTTCACCATGTTGGCCACACTGGTCTTGAATCCCTGACCTCAAATGATCCACCTGCCTCAGCCTCCCAAAGTGTTGGGATTACAGGCGTAAGCCACCACGCCAGGCCTTCTTTTCTTTTTTGAGAAAAGGTCTGGCTCTGTTGCCCAGGTTGGAGTACAGTGGTGCGATCACAGCTCACTGCAGCCTCGAACTCCCTGGCTCAAGCAATCCTCCTGCCTCAGTCTCTCGAGTAGCTGGGACTACAGGTGGCACCACCCCACATAGCTAACATTTTTTAACTTTTTCTACGGGGGGGGCGGTCTCACTATGTTGACCAGGCTGGTCTTGAACTCCTGGGCTCAAGCGATCCTTCAGCCTTGGACTTCCAAAGTGCTGGAACTACAGGCGTAAGCTACTGTGCCTGCCTGGAAATGACTGTTTTCTATCCTTTTCTCAGATTCTCATGCTGCGGGGTGGCGTCGGGCTGCTTCAAAAAGAGCCCAACAGGCTGTTCATGGCGGCTTTCTCAACAGTTCTGTCCCTGGACTGCTATTTCCTCCTGCAATGGCAAAAGGGCATGCCTGCCTCCCTCCTTTCTGAACCTATACCCTGATCCCACCCTCCCCCCATACACACACAAACAAAGTTAACAAAAAAGGAACCCCTCCTCCGGAAACCAACTCAGGGAAACAGAAGGGACGAGAATCTTGAGGAAGAACCACGTCAGTTTGGAGCTTGTTCTGGGAAACCCTGAAAAAGTGTGGGAGAGCCAATTCAGAGAAGAGGCCAGGCACAGTGGCTCATGCCTATAATCGCAGCACTTTGGGAGGCCAAGGCAGGTGGATCATCTGAGGTCAGGAGACCAGCCTGACCGACACGGTGAAATCCTGTCTCTACTAAAAAAAAAATACAAAAATTAGTCGGGCTTGGTTGCGGGGGGCCTGTAATACCAGCTACTTGGGAGGCTGAGGCAGGAGAATCGCTTGAACCCAGGAGGCAGAGATTGCAGTGAGCTGAGATCACGTCACTGCACTCCAGCATGGGTGACAAAGTGAGACACTGTCTCCAAAAAAACAAAACAAAACAAATTCAGAGAAGAGAGGAAAAAAGCCTCAATATTTGTTGAGCGCTTACTATGTACCAGGTACTAGTCTACAGGCAACATCTGGGTTTATCTGTCTCATTCTGTAAGGAAGGTGTTTTTTTTTTTTTTTGAGATGGAGTTTCTCTGCGCCAGGGCTGGAGTTGCAGTGGCCGCATCTCGGCTCACTGCAAGCTCCGCCTCTCAGGTTTCACCGCCACTCTCACGGCCGCCTTGCCTGCCGTATCCTTGGCACTACAGGACCGC